CCTGCAAAACCTTACTTAGAAACTCCAATAAAACCCACTTCAGCCAGCAAGTTTAATGATGCCCTAAAGAGAGCCAGATCACTTATCTACACCATCATGCAATAACTATAAAGTGTTGAGATAAGTGGTTTTATATCTCCCAGTTTGCTGCTGGCCTTCACCCTGTGTATCAGTTTATGCCAGTGAATGTGCGTGTAAAATTTTATTGCTCTGGTTTGGTTGTGTTTTATAGTCAGTTCAGTTCACATACAAGATGCACGGGCATAGTGGATGCTCTTATCTATATATGCATTTATGAATGGAAAAAGTGTAGTATCTCCATTACGCTCACCACGATTGCCTGTAATAGCTGTGGATTGCCTTCTGTTCAAGACCTGTGTCCTGTAGGCCAAACCACTGGTAAGGATTGTGCACAATTCCTACCTGCTCAGCTTTCCCAACCGGCAGGGACGTACTTAGTTACCTGCAGTTCATACAAGATTTGAAAGAAAGCAATGTAAAATTTGGGACATATCCAGAGAGCCTATTTATGACTTTTGCCGATGCAAAAGGACATGCCACAAAGGGTTTTTTTTTTTTTTTGACTGCTTCAGTATCCATGTAAACAAGTCTGAATTTCAGCTGCCTTTTTGGCTTGTTTGTTTTGTAAGTCACAGGCAATTTAACAAGTTAGGTATTTTCATCTCGTTGCAGTTGCTGCTTTCTCAGAGTCAATTCTCCTCATGCCATACTTGCATTATTCAGCTGAATGGCTATAGTTTGCTTTTTGTTTTATATTTACTCTGTAGATAGTAGACTCTTTTTATAGATCTTCACCTGCAGCTGCAGTTCAGCGACTGTTTGTTTTGTGTATGCAGAAGCCTTGTAAGATCTCACCTATCATGTTGTTTGTGCCATCTGATAACATTTGAAGCTGTTCTATGATCAAATGGAGCCTATTTAAATAACAGCATCTAGGACAGTGAACCAGCTATGAAACAAATATTTCTAAAGATCAGATAAGATGGAGGAGATGCATCAGTGCTGAATTGTTCTGTATACCATAAGTTCTTGCGCTTTGCTGTAGAGGTATTCCAGGCATGGGATTTCCTTTATGCCACAGGCTAATAGATCACACTGTGTTATTTTCCAGGTTGTTTTATATCTTGTAGAGACATGTGCTTTTGCAAAGTGGATATAATACACTGAGTGTGATAGTATTATACATAATCTGCATGACTTGCACAAGCATAGGTAAACAATAAGAAATTCAGAACAACAGAGAATCATATCCCCTTCCCTGTCCTGAAGTACTGTACTATATATTTTCTCTTTGCTTTCCATACAGCCACCCTTTCTTCTTCCTAAAGCTACACCGTCTTTTGCATTAAGAGCTGCCTCTCAAGTTCTGCCAAAGTCTATACTTCTGTTAATTTCCAAAGTAGCGTTTGATTTTAAAATATTTTTCTTGTGAGCATGCAAAGAAATAACCTTATGTTTAAAGGCATTATTTGTGACTCTCACTGCTGCTCCTCTTTGTTTTGTTCCTCTGCAGGAGGATATTGCCAATTTTGAGTCTCAGGAAAAGAAGCAGAGAGACCCCTGGCTATCTGAGCCTGCAGAAAGTGCCAACACAGTGAAGAGTGTTCTCACTGTACAGGAATATTTTGCCAAGCGCATGGCAAAATTGAAAGGATCCCAAAATGAAACCGAAACCAAGTTAGACAATTCTTGTCCAACAGCAGATGAAGCCTTAGAGCCTTCGGAGGAACTGAAAACCAAAGCCAAAAAGAAAAAGAAGAAACAGAAGAGGAATGAGGCAGAGAATACAGAACATTACGAGCAACCAAAAGTGAAACAATGTAAGATAGGTAGCTTGGATGGAAATGAACCGGATGCTCCATACAAAGAATGTCACCCAGGAAAAAAGAAAAGAAAAGTTAAAGATCAACATGAAAAGGAAAGCCATAGTTGTTACGAAAATGTGGGCGGTGGAGAAATTTATACGGGAATATCTGATGGGGAAGAATGCAACGTAAAAGACTCTGAGGCAAAGCAAAAGAAGCGCCATAAGAAACACAAAAAGCAAAAGGAAGAGACGGATGAGTGTATTGAGGAAACGCAGAGAAAGAAAAAGAAACACTGCAAGTAGATTTAACCATTTAGCAGTCAAGCTGTGACTTTGAGATGACTTGAGCTTTATCATGTTGGACGAGAAGCCGATGTAAATGCACCAGCCAGACGTCAGGTTGTAACTCAGACTTCAGCATGCCGCTCGGTGTCGAGCCTAAACCACAGATTGTGTTTAAATATAGCTCTTTCAAGGAGGTGGGAACACAGTGACAGGCCAACGTGAGTGTCGGAGCCATGTTATAAAGATCTGCACGCACAGGGCCAAGATTTTTGCATGTCTGCAGAGCAACCTTGGTAAAAGCAGTTAAGCTTTGTCTCTTTGAGTATGGCCAACTGTTCACCCTTACTGACTTTGCAAGAGCTATGTTTGAATGCAGCAGACCTTGTGCTGCCTTAAGCCCGGATTCACTCTGGTGTGACTCCATTCATGTAACATGACCGTAAGCAAAATCACGCCTGTTTTTAGCTGCTGTGTATAAGGCCCTTGTAGGCTATAATTGTGAGAGCCAGTAAATTGCTATCCACTCCACCACACTGACTGCATTTTTCTCAATCCAGGGAGAAAAGAAAAAGAAAGTCATCCTACCGGTGCCTTTATTCTTAAAGCCACCTCTGTTTTCACTTGTGATAGCCCAACTCTGCTTGTAGAAACAGGAGAGGTTTTGCAAAGTTGTATGTAATTTTTTCATTGATTTCCTTTTTTTTGTGTGTATATATATATATAAAATAAACGTTGTTTCTTCCCAAAATACTTAGTTTAATGAAAGGATTATGCCCGAGTGTGAGTACTAAAGAGTGAAACAAAACAACTCCCTTTCTACCCTAGCCAGCAGTTAACTATTGTTAAGCTAGTGTAACTTTGCAACAGAGCTGTTGGAACTGTGCCTTTATTAGCCATATCTAAATCTTTGGTTCCCAGGCAACATTCATGGTACCTTCACTGATGGATCTGACCTTCAAAACATTGCCTTGGATGGAGAAAGCTTTTCTATGAAATTCGGAGGCCAACTAGATTTTAAAAGCATAGCTGGTCAGATGTATTAATATTGCCATTTGCACACTGAAACCTCGTAATTTAAGTTTATAACCAAATTAGAGCCTGTTTCTAACAGCAGACCTGCAAATAAGTAATGCTGGAACTCAGCAGTCGCAAAAGCAGTTTTATGTAAGGGTTTAAAGAGTCAGGATGCATTTCAGGATTTTCATCTCACCCAACTACGAGTTGCCAGAAGAGAGGAGTGCGCCGGAAGTGAAGTCGTGCAATGGGAAGAAGCAGTCGCCAGCCTTGAGGCTGGTTATCGTGGCATAATCCAGAGTAGCTGAGCAGAATTTAAGTCCATTAGCTGTTCGTTGCTGACTTTGAGCCTGGCTGTGTTTCATTGATGTAAATCTAAAACATCCGGTTGTCCTGTTTTACTGAATAAAATGGGTACATTTTTTATTTGTGTTGCCTCAGTTGCTTAACATGGCTTGAAAAACACCATCAAGATGCAGATGCAACATGAGCAAATTTCTTTAAGCTGTCTTTATTGTCCACTGAGAGAAACACAGTCGACAATACACGGTCCACATGGCTTTGGGTTTTTTAGGTGCAGCTTAACTGGACTTCTCACTTTTTAAAGACATCTTGGTTTGAAATGCACCTTTCTTGCCCCCAGGGCATGCTCCTTTATTGCAGCAAAATTACTGTGGTTTTACACTATTGTAAGGGAGCACAAGATGCCTTTCAGTGTGTTGCACACTGGCTGGCTGGTGTGTTTAAACTCTTGTAGCATTTGCTTTTCAGTGCTAAACAAATATTAGCCATCACGATGGTGCTATGGCTGGGCTTATTCCCTGGCTTCCTTAAACAATATATCACTTAACACGGTGAGGCTGCTATAGAGTTCTGAATAAACTCCGTGCTTGAGGTGAAAAAAATCTTCTTGGTGGAGGAAGGCAGCAGAATAATTTTTCATGTTTCATGGACGCATCCTAAATTTTGTAGGTCTCCTTCAAAGCGACCCTTGCAGTTTCTTGGTCACCACAAATTAAGATCTTTTGCTTATCAGTAAGAGCCAAAAAGCGAACTGTTTCCAATATCTTTTTTTAACTCCTAGGCAGCTAAACTTTACAGTCTTTATGGGATTTAAAGTTAAAAAGGTGCTAGTAGAGGAAAAGGGTTTCCTCTCCAAATAAAACTGGGCTTGCTTGTGTTTGTTCTCTGTATTAAGCTTCTGTGAGTTTCTAAGGGCTAATTCTTATGGAAAGTGTTTGGCCAAATTCCAGTGTTAGTCATAGAAAGTATAAAAACAGGAATAAATCTTTAAATTTATGGAGTTACTACAATCAAGCACACTACACCTAAGATTTAAATCTGATTCAGATTTAAATTTCAGCTACAAACAGAGAATTCTCTGTTTGTGCAGAAGAAGTGTGAATTTCACTTTAACCTAGGAAACGCGTGATTTTATTTATTTTAATGTGCCTATAATGCCTAACGCGAACAGAAAACTTATACAGAACATGGGTTATGGGGATTAAAAAGTATAATGGACTAAAATTTGGGAAAAGTGATTTTCTTAGCTGTGCTTCTCTTTGTATGTTAGTCATCAACACATTTTGCAGTACTTGACAATAAGTTCTTCTTAGCAGATACTGTGTAGTGAAATGGATGAGTGAATCAACAAGAACATATTTCAAAGCAATAAATGATGTTGTGCTTATAGTGGGATGTCAGTCCAGTTTTAACCAAACTCTGGTTTGGCCAGAAGGTCTTTTTTAGAAAGCATAAGAGAAAGAATTGTGTCATTACCCAAATGGCGAAATTAGCAGAATGTAAGCACAAAGAAATGATTTGGTTTTATTTCTGTGAAAATAGGACTTTTAAACAGCAGGATCTTCTGTTATATATTTGCACATTGTGCCCATACATTGAAGCACAAAGTTAACGTACCTCCAAGTGAAATTACCTAGAAACGAAGCAAAACGATAGTCACCAGTCTGCCTTTGCTTCCAAATTGAGAGTGATGCACAAGCAGCATACAGATACTAACATGTTTTAGCAATCCCAAATCATCAGTGACGTAGAAGAGAATTTGCTTTTACGCATTTGGGGCCTTATGCAGATGACGGTCGCCCGTGAGTTACTTCCATTTGTCGCAGGTGTAGTGTTGTTCTTTGCTCTGAGCCTTGAAATTAACTGTGGGTGCAAAGGCTGCTATATGCCAAGCTGCGTGATTTGCAATTGCCGTTGTGTCAGTGGCAATATATAAGCTAACTTTTGTGCTTGTAATTACCTGCAAGCACAAAACTGTGTCCTGGAAAGCAGAGGCCATGTAAAAGTAGTCTGCTGCCAGCATCGGACCAATTTCTGTATGAGCTTTATAGGCTTTTAAATGCTTATTTGGATTTTACTGGTGTCTTACTCTTCAGTGCCTTCCTTGAGCCGAGGACGGGAGATTGCAGTGGTGGGAGCTGGGCGAGAACCCGAATCACAGGAATGGGCACTGAACGCCGTTCCCTGGATTTCTTTCCAAGACTTAACTAGCTCTCTTGCTTCACACTGGTCATGGTTTATTTCAAAGCATAGCTGGGTGACACTATCTCATACACGTTTCAAGCCACCCCCTTTAGATTTGTGCTCAGAACCTCAGAGCCTTTCTTCTGTGGGTATTTCAGTCCATAAGATACTATCCGAAATGCAGCTACTTTTGTGAAATTTGTCAAGTGTACTTGGGGATCCATCCAGTTCAGTGTCTTTTTCAATTAACACAGTTTCCCTTTAAGCAAGAAGATAGTTCTGGTGCTGGCTGCTTTCAAATAATAAGCTCACAGCAAAGAAAATTAACTGAATGCACCAATGTAATTAACCAATTTTCTCTTGTTTAAACACACAAGATTGAAGTTCCCAAAGCATCCACCTTCAAAAGGCCCAATTTACGTCACGAAACTTCCAAACCTGCCAGCACTAAGAGGAGGAAGGAAGCCGTGAGAAGAGAGGAAAACCAGACAAAGTCAATTGGAAACCCTGCATAGCATCACGCCTATCTTAAGAAAAGATCTTATAATAGCGCGTCCTCAAACAGCGGGCGGATTGCTAGCATCTAAAGCAGTCTTTTGCTTAACTCCTCCCAAGTCCTGGGCGCTCTGAGGTTCGTTACGGTAAGGGCTGTAGATCTCGTCTGCACAGGGTTGGTGGCCGAGGAGCCCCAAGGAAGGATCAGCGCTCACCAAGTGTCCGGACAATAACCAAGATTGTCGTCTCCGTAGCAGAGACTTCTGAAACTTTCAGTGATGTGGGACTGGTGAACGTGGTACAAAACATTTGGGGTGGCAGAAGCGGGAAGATTGTCCCAATTCCATATTGCAACTCAATTTTTCATCAAGTCAGAAGTTAAAAATTCTGCTTCTGAGTCACTCAAGTTTTTTTTTTTTATTTTTGATCTTAAGCCCCCTTTTTTTTCTTCTGAATTTTAAAGCAAAAAAAAGGGAAAATCTGCCAGTCCCCTTTAACCAAATAAAATCTGTGTCATTTGGGAGCTGTTAAAAACAAAACTGCACTTCAAAAAAAAAAAGAGAGTAATAAAAGCGATATCCAGCATCATGACTGCGTGTGCGCTGAAGAGTTTAGCGTGATCTTTTTTCGTCTTCGCTTCTCGCCGCGGGGTGCGTAAGGGGAAAGCTCGGATTTCTTCTGCTAGCAAATAAAGGTGATCGCAGTAGCGGTTGGCGGGGAAGGCGTGGGGGACCCGAGGAGGTGGGAGGCGGGCAGGGTTGGCTGGGAGCTGCACGGCGCGGAGACGGCGCTTCTGCGGTTAGCCCCCAGCTGCCTCTTGCAAAAAAATGGCATCTGGGAGACGAGGGCTTCATCAATAATTAAGGAGCATGAGAATATTGAGCTAATTTAGGATTTGCTCTTTCTCAACGCATTGTAATGTCTTGAAGTGTGTGTGTGTCGGGGAGCGAGGGGGGACCATGAAAATAAACTCGCCGTTTGCAAGCTGCATAAAATGCCATATGTCAGGATCCAGCCCAAAAGTCAAGCAGGGGATAGTTTTAAAGAGCGAGGATGGACTTGCCCGTGCAGAGGGAAAGCGGCGGAAAGGGGAGCTGGATTCTCTGCGTGACCCCATGGGAGTTACGGCCCCTGGTCCCCATCCGTGGAAGGGGGAGAACAAAGCTTTCTTCCACCCTTTGTCTGCTCGGTCTATTGTAGCGTGTAGCTTTAGCAGTAATTTCCCCGCTCTCAAAGCCCTGTGAGAGCTCTGCTTCTTCCTGTGCCCCAGATACAGGTAAGCGTTACGCCACGAAAGGTAAGCATAAAAAGTAAAGATGAGTTTTCCAGACTGCCGCTAATTACCCTGATACGCTCGCAATTCGAAGGTGGCATTTTCACATGGCCCCAGCTGCCTTTATGTAATGCAGAGCTTGCTCCAGGACAGGTTTAACCAGCATTTTAAGTAGGGTGCAGAATGAAACCCATCTTACTAATGCAATCAGAATGCCAGGTGCTAAAGGGGGGGGAAAAGGGAACAAGGGTTTATTATTGTTTGCATTAGAGCACTCCAGATGCGGTGTGGGGGCCTCTAGGAAGGTGCTGCCTCTGCAAGTGGGAGACGATCCAAAGTGAGTAATCTTTTGTATTATTTGCTTTGTCCGGGAACCATCTAGTAGTCCCAGCGCGCATCTCAGCATGCTTGAAACGCACCTGAGTTCACCCCTGCAATACCCAGAGGAGACCAGGCGATGTGACCCCCACGATGCAAAGGGAATTGTAAGGATCGGGAAAACCGGGTGAGTTTTTGGCTCCAAAAGGCTCACGGCATCTGCGGCAGAGCCGGGAACTCAGCGCGGGTCTCCTGCATCCCGGCTCGGCGCTTTAGCATCCCACCCTGCAAAAATGCACCTTGGAAACGCGATGCGGGCTGGAATCGTTGCCATATGTCATGTAACACGGCTCGACTGGAATCAATTTTTTTTTCCCCCGTAAGTTGACATATTATGCTACCCCCAGCAATTTTCCAGGCTCCGGGGCCTCAGGTAGAAAGGTGATATTTTTAAAATAGTAATTACACGCAGGCCTTGTGCATCCTGACAGTCTGAAAACGACACTGAGCAGGGTAATCCCAAATACAACAGAAAAGCTTGCAACTCAGGAAAGTCTGTGTTTTGGCATGCTTCAACACCTACTAAAGAGAAATTGGGGGGGGAAAAAAAAAAAAGGATGTTATGGATTTTCTCCCCTTGGCTTTCCAAGAGGACGGAAAGTTCGGCCTGAAGGCCACTTAGCCCTGTCACCAAGGCCGCGGCAATGGCCCTTTCTGGAATTAAACTAAAGCCCCAGTTCTGCTACCATAAACCGGGCTCTTCCGGGCATCCGGATCTGCAGGTTTCCGTGCAAAACCTGACTGTGGCCAGGCAAAATAAAAAGGGAGGAGGAAAGAGGGACGAAATCCTTGCCGACAAGCTCTGCAGCAACTCCCTTTTGCAAAAGGCACCCGGGAGACCCGTTTGGGAGCAGGACGGAGGGTCGGGCATCCTCCGCCGCTG